TGCGGAAACAGGTGTGGGGGGCGGGATCAGGGGCTCCAAGGGGTCACACTGCAGTGTCCCAGATGGGGTCACGTGGGCAGAGGGTCCCAAAGAGGTGGGCATTACGCATGGGGGCTGGCCCCTGGGAGGACACGTGCGGGTCACAGAAGGTGCCTCGGGTGGGGGGGGTCCCTAGGAGAAGTCCCGCATGGCAGTGTGTGGTCACGTGGGGCCATGCATGAGTCACAAGGGCGGTCCCGCGCGGGGGTGCTACCTGCAGGTGCAGGCGCAGGAGGGGGGGGCGCCCGGGCCCGTTCGGCTCCTCCCGCGCCCACCGCTCCGCCGCCTCCAGCCCCTCCCGCGCCGCCGCCTGCGCCGGGCGGATAAGGACCCAGGCGTCCGGCAGAGCCCCCAACTCCGCTGGAGAACCCAGACACGGGCTCCCAGCCCCCACTCTCCACCCAAGGAACCGAGGAGTCCGGGATCCTCACCCCCGCAGAAAACCCAGGAGTCCGGGAGGTCCTCCCCCAGAACACCCTAGAGAACCCACGCGTCCGAGCCCCCTCCCCTCCTAGAGAACCCAGACGTCCGGGCTGTGGGCAGTGCGGGCGGGGAGGTCACACGGGGGGGGCGAAGGACGGGTCAGAGGGTGACTAGGACAGTAGGATGGTCACGTGGAGGGCGGGGTCTCCCGGAGTCACGTGCGGGGGAATCTCGGGGAGGGTGGAGGAAAATGACGTGGAGGAGTAGGGGGTTGTCACGGGGGGCGGGGGCGGGCGTGATGTAGGAGTCGCGGGGGAAACTCTGGGGGTGTCATAAGGAGATGTCACTGGGATACCCCGTGGGGGAGGGAGGGGTTCCCCGGGAATGTCACGTTGGGTGTCCTGGGCGGGGAAAGGGTCCGCGAGGGCGTCACGCGGGGAGCGACGTCACCTCATAGCACGCGTTCCCGGTGGCGCGGCCAAGCTCGTCGAGCGCGAGCGCGCAGAAGCACTCGCTGAAGACAGAGCGCTGCACCTTGGCCGCGCGTCCGTCTCGGAGCAGCGCGAACGCGGCCTTGGGCACACGCGGGTCCGGACGCGCGCAGCGCAGCAGAAACTCGCCCCCTGCGGCAAGGGGAACCCGGGCGTCCGAGCTGGCTCCGGACCCCGCCCCTGAGAACCCAGGCGTCCGAGCCCCGACCCCTCACTCACCGGCCCGCGCTGCTTCTAGTAGCTCCGGGCGCCGAAACCGCGGGACCGAGCGGTAGAGGCGGGCGTAGACCCAGACCTTTGGGGGGGTCAGACTTGCGGGGGTGACCCAAGCGTCCGACCCCCCGTACTCCAACCCCCGGGGGACCCAGGAATCCGGGCTCCCCCCTTCCTCAGCCCAAGAGGGTACCCAGGCGTCTTGGACTCCAGCTCCCCACTGAGGGCCCGAAGGGAACCCAGGCGTCCTAGACCCCCAAATTCACCTTCCCCCAAGTGCCAGGGGGGAACCCCGGTAGCCGAACGCACAGAACCCTCCTCCCGCTCACTGTCCGAAGTAACCCAGCCGTCCCGACTCCAGCTCCCCCTCCCATTCCAGGAGGGAACCCAAGCATCCGAGCCCCCGCCCCCTCAGGGGACCCAGGCATCCTAACTCACCTGCCGACCCTGCATCCAGACGTACTTAGTCTCGTCATAGACGGTCCCGTCGCGGCTCAGACAAGAAAAGAACCCGCTGGGGGCAGGGTGGGTGGTCAGCGCTCGGACACCTGGGTTGAAAGTCCCCTCGGGCGCTGGAGGGGAGTTGGGAGTCTCTAGGACTCCTAGGCACCTTCCGAGGCTGGAAGGAGGGTTGCGGGGGGTGGATCTCGGACGCCTGGGTTTCTTCCCATGCTAGTGGGAGTCTCCAGTACACTTGGGTTCTTTCTGGTGCTGGAGAAGGAGGGGGGGGGCGGAGGGGATCCGGGAGCCTGGGTTTCCTCTCGCGCTTAAGGGGGCGGGGAGTAGGACTCCAGGACCTCTGGGTTCCTTCCTGCGCTAGGGAGTCCCGGACGCCTGGGTTCTTTCCCGAATTTGGGAGGAGGATCCCGAACGCCGGGGTCGGCTCCTGCACCGGACCTTAGAGGGCTGAGCGGGGTCTCGGCCTCCTGGCTCCCCTGTTGCGCTGGGGACAAGGTCCGAACCAGCTGCCTGACTCCTGACACCCACCCGTGCTCGGGGTCGTGCGAGTGACGGATCCAGAAGTCAACGACAGTGTCAAGTTCGCAGGAGACCCGGTCCCGCCAGGCCTCGAGCAGCTCCCGCGACTCAGCGTCCAGAGGGGGCAGCGCAGCTGGAGCGGGGCCCGAACCCGATCTGGACCCAGCGTTCGAACCCGCCGCCGCCGCCTCCATCGTGGTCTCTGCGTGGAGCCGAGTCACGCGGGGAGGGGGCGTGGTTAGATCCAGACCAGACCACGCCTCGGGAAGTTACGCCTCCTTGAACACCAGGGGACCCGGAGCGGGAGCTGCTCAGGTCAAGCCAAACCACGCCCCCTAGTGAGTTTATGCCCCCATACGCGAGACCAGCCCTGCAGGAGGGGTCAGTCACGCCAAGCCACGTCCCTATGTAGCCACCACCCCCGCCCAGCCACGCCTCCAGGGACTGAAGAGAGAGATTGGGGACCTGAGGGTGTGGGAACGCAGGGGGCAGAGTAATGTGGGGGGTGGGGAGAGCGGGAAGAACCCAGGTCCCAGCAGAGGGTTTTTGAGGTGCCAGGAACTAGGGGTCTAGTACCTGGGAGGGGCTTGGGGGGGGTAAAGGGGTGGGGCCGAAGGGGCCCGCACCGGGCGGTTCCAAGTCACGCGTGGCAGGTCCAGTGACGCGGCCTCGAAGCCGGGGGAGGTCGGGGCTGCACGGGTCGCGCCCCAGCTCAGCCCCTTCCTGCCGCATGGGTCCTCCCCCACTCTGCCCACCAGTCCCGGACTCATGTGTCCCTCCCCCGCCGATCCAACTCTCGCTTCCTCTTTTGTTTACTTCAAAAAAATGTCTTTAATTGTTCAAAATAGCACAAAAACGACAGATACGACGGCACGGGGAGGGGGCAGGGCCTGTCCCGGGAGGGGCGGAGGTCGAGGCCTGGGGACAGGGCGTCCACAGCGAAATACACTATAATACAAAACGGGGGTTGGACCGAAAGGGGGCGGAGCCAAGTAGGGAGTCCCCGCCCCTACCCCTTACAGACCTTTTTTTTTTTTTTCCTTTAATTTTTTTTTCCTAAAAAAACGGGGGTTTTATACAAAAAATGTGTCTGAGGGAGAAAGGGGGGCACTCCCCAGAAGGACAACGGGAGCAGGGTCCAAGCTTAGACCCCACCCTCAAATCACAGCCTCCTCAGGTGGCAGGCAAATAGGAACCCCAGCTTGGATGTGGGGGGACTTGTCATGGCAATATCTCTGCCCCCCCCCCCGTACAAAGGAAGGGGGACCCCAAGGTGGGGGAGGGGAGTACAAAAGAACTTAATTCCAGCCAGCCCACCCACTGAAAAGCCTCTCCCCAGCCCCTTCTGGGAGGTGTAGCTCTTGTTGCCCCCCATGGAGCAGGGGGGTAGGTTCCATCCTTTGAGCCAGTGCTGTGAGCTGCCTGGGGTGGTGTTGTAGGGGTCCTTCACTGCCCCTCGGCCTTAGGCTTCTTTGGAGCAGATTTCCTGGGGGGTGGGAGAAGAGGGGTTGCCATGAGTGTAGGG